TCCGAGACCGTGGTGTGGCCGCGAGGAGTAAAGCGTCACTCAGACGTTCACTGGCTCACTGAGAAGGGGATTTCTTTGGACCAGCTCTCCATCCCGTCCACGGAGCAGCCGCTGGCGGGGGATGTTCAGGGCCAGCACTGGCCGGGCTTTGCGGTTCCTTTCTCCTTCCTGCTCCCTGAGCTGCGGAGCGAGGCGGCCCCCACCGCCTGCCCGGGGAGCGGAGGTCTCCATGCCCGCTGGGCTGCTGGCATCCTCATGCTTCTTGCACTCCCACCGCCTCGGTGTGCTCCTCGGTCAACTGTCTGCCCCCTGGTGGTCAGTGCACATCATTGCAAGTGGTTGAGCGGCCTTAGCATATATTATGCTTTGATTGGTTGAATAGATGACCGGATGACCAGACACTTAGCATATTAGGCTTTTATTATACAGGCTAGGCAAATTTTAAAAGGATCTTGGTGAAATACTGAGCTATTTTAAAAAATATGTTTTTATTAATTTTAGAGAGAAATCAAGGTAGTGGGGGGAGAGAGGGAGAGAGAGACATCAATGTGAGAGAGAATCACTGATGGGCTGCCTCCTGCACGCCCCCTACTGGGTACCAGCCCACAGTCCGGGCCTGTGCCCTGACCTGGAATCTAACCGGTGACCTTTTGGTGCCTAGGATGATGCTCAACCAACTAAGCCACACCAGCCAGGGCTATTGAGCTGTTTTTAAAAGAAAAGGGTTTAGAGGAAGACAGAAAAGTACAGACACAACCTATTTTCTACATATTTTTTACCACAGGGACACTTTAATGAGACAAGCCCGTGATTAGGACATTAATTATGTAATTGTGTTCTCGTTTTTCTTGGCAGTCCAATGAGGAGCGTTAGTATTGGGTGGGAACTGCCTCACGCTGGGTAATAGATAAGCACTCGGCTATCAAAACGGGGGTATTGATGTTCACGGGAAGGATTCCAACACCCATAACTCCTCCTCGACAGCTCGTCCTCTCATAGCTCTCACTCCGTCTCCGTTGTCCTCCCCCCGGTCGCTCCTGGGATGCTGCCTCCACTCGAACTGCTTTCGTTCCACATCTTGTACCACAAACTATATTTTTTTTAAATTCTCACCTGAGGAGTGAGGATATTTTTTCCATTGATTTTAAGAGAAAGAAACATCGACGTGAGAGAGAGAGACATTGATTGGTGGCCTCCTGCTCCCAACCCGACCGGGGCCAGGGATCGAACCTGCAACTGAGGTCCATGCCCTTGACCAGGAGTCAAACCTGCAACCCTTCAGTCCATGGGCTGATGCTCTAACCACTGAGCAACTGGCCAGGGCTGTGCCACAAACTTTTTAATAACAACAATGTGATATATTCAATTCACTCCTCTTCCTCTATCAAACCAGATATTCATTTTCTTTGTTTTTTACTTTTGTGAATTATTTCTTCCCACCTTCTAACTCCTCCCTGACTTTCTTGCTTTATCTCCTTGATTAGCAATCCTTTCCACAATGATTTTACTAAGGACTTAAAATTCCTCGTCTATAGCCTTCTGCAATATCTTATCAATATATGCACAATCTCGGATGTATTCTTTCTCTACATACCTCAGCTACTAAACACTGCTATGAGTTTAAAAAAGTAAATAAGTAAGCCATCAATAAGCAACTAACAACATCAATTACTATAACTTAAAAAACACAGCAGAATTTTCTATTCCTCTCGGCAATCCTATTTCATCTGTGTGGCAATTAGCAGGTCATCCTATATAATAAGGAGGTAATATGCAAATTGACCCTCGCTCCATCACGCCGCCACAAGATGGCTGCACCCACAGTGGAGGCGGGGTTCCCGTAACAAGTTGTAACTAACCATCAGCAGGGACCTGAGGCTGTGTGGCGCTGCACCGGGGTGGGGGACCTCAGGCCGCCCTCCCTGCCTGGTGGGGCTTGACGGGGGACCTCAAGCCGTGCCTCCTGCCCTGGCGCCCAGCTGGGGGGCTTGAGGTTGTGCCCCTGCCCAGCAGGGCTTGACAGGGGTGCGGCCAGCTGGGTCTGGATCTTGCCCAGTGTGGGTGGGGCTGGCCGGGTCTGGGTCTCGCGCAATTTCAAGGCTCACGCGGGTGGGCGGGAACTTGACTCTGGGTCCTGCATCGCGCCCCAGACTCTGACCGGAGGGAGATTCTCATATACATTTTACTAATTTTCTTTCATCTCTGACACTTCTATTATAGAGAAAGGGCAAATAGCAATATTAAAATATTTCCTCTAATTAATTCCCTTTTAATGTGCACGGATTTTATGCACCGGGTCACTAATTATTTTATAGAGACAGACAGGCTTTGCTTTGCTTCAGAAACAAGTCATTTCAAACCCTTATTGGCTTAAAGTAGCAAATAGTCTGTTAGTTCCTGTGGGAGGAGGGGCTTGGCTGACCCGACGAAGTCCCCGCCCCTGGGGCCTCCATCCTGGACCCGGGCCTGGTCCCGGGGGAGTGAGGGACACGGGAGGGACACGGACTCAGACTCGGGGTGACTGGAAAGGCCTCTTCTGCTCCCTCGAGACCCGAGGACTCGCTCGCTCTTCCTCATTCGGCCGACGACGCTCCCACTTTACTTGGCAAATAGGTCTGAGCCGCACCTGCCGCCCGGTTCATCCCCGAGCATCCGACACCCCTTCTCTCCAGTCACCTCGAGTGGAGAGCAGGGCCCCCGGGTGGCTGGTGCTGGGAACGGGGGGGCCGTGGGCAGTAGGACTAGCCCAGGCGTCTGAGGGAAGCAGCGGCCGGGACGTTAGGTCCCTGACACCGGGTGGTGGGAGGTGAGAGCTGACGTCAGGGAGGGTTCATGGGGGACGGGCGTCTCATTACTCGGAGGCCAGCACGCGGGAGGCAGGGCCACAGCGCTCCCTTCCGCATCCGCAGGCACCCCCACCGGGAAGTCTGAGCACAGCCAGACCCACGGTTGAGATGCTCCCAGAGTTCTCCGTCCGATTCCCGTCACCTTTAGGCTGTAAACAAAGACAAGCGCACGCGGCTGCTCCAGCTCACGGAGCCTCGTGTCCTGCCAGGACAGCCTCCGTCCACACAGGAGCCATCGTGCTGCCTTGTTAGCAACTGGCACTGAGATGCCAGGAGTGCATGAGCGTGGAGACGTGAGCCCCTCAGTTTGGGAGAACGTGGGGGACGAGGAGAGAGTGTGTGTGTCTTATGGCACCACCTGGGGAGGGGCGGCCCCCTAGTCTGTGCTCCTCAGTGACTGACCCAGCAAAGACATCCACCAACATCACACCAGAGAGGTGTTCTGAAGTGGAAGCCACAACCTTGAGGTGGGAGTCTGTCCCTCCATGGGCAGGAAATAGGGGGGTTCTGAGGTTGCTCTAGGTCAGCTGAGCAGGCAGGGTCAGGGTCAGCTCAGGGTCAGGGTCAGCTCAGGGTCAGGGTCAGCTCAGGGTCAGGGTCAGTGCATGCAGACAGCGAAGGGACAGGGTGTCCAGCAGCGTCCTGCACACAGAGAGCGAGTATGGAGGAGGCAGGGACCAGGGCGAAGGCTCCTAAGATCCTCCGACCGGGTTTGTGGGAGGAAGAGAGAAGCTGTTGATTATCGCTCCAGGGAAACAGGGTTAAACACGGTGACACCGTCAGCGTCTCAGGGACTGAAGGAACCGTGAGGCCGAGGAAGGTGGAGGAAAGCTGGTGAGGTAGGAAACTCGGGAAAACACAGAACTGTTTCTAAGTTTAAGGGCCACGGGACATGAAAGTGAATGGCTTTCTGGGCGGAGAGGCCGGGGGCTACAGAGCCGGGCCCGGCTGCTGGGAGGCGGTCACGGCGAGCAGGTGTCGCATCTGCGTGGAGCTTCCCAGGGTTCGACCTGCTGTGACTGGTGGAGGGCGGTGGAGGCCTGGCGGGCATCCAGCCTCTAGTTGCTTCTGATTTTAAGGTTCAGACTCACGGATGGTCCTGGGAGGACAGAAATTCATTCCTAAAGGGGGACCCCCCCCCCCGTTCAATCAGCACGATTGGAACAGATAACTGTGTGTTTTATTATAATCAGATGGACACGCCGTGAATACATTCAGTCTGGTCATTGCAATGAGGTGCGGTAAAGGGAACACATTTTTCTACGAAATAAACACACTGTCTGAAGGGTCAGAGTGGGAGAGAGAAACGCCGATGGGTTCACAACACAGGGGGGCTATTCCGAAGGGACCCACGAACCCCTCGACCCATGTCCGCCACACCCCGACACGCACGCTTCACCCCGACACGCACGCTTCACCCCGACACGCACGCTTCACCCCAACACGCACGCTTCACCCCGACACGGGCTCATGCACACGGAGGCGGAGAACAGAGCACAGTGTGTGTAATTCACGCAGAACCGTGCCTCGCCGGGCCGCGTGCCTGCTGGAGCTGAGAGGAAGCGTGTGCGTGACCTGCCGGCCTGAGTCATCACCCCGAGTCTTGGTTTCACCCCGTGGGGTGGCCTGTTTGGTGACTAAAGGATCAAACGAGGAACTGGACCTTCCCCTCCAGTCCCCAGGGCCCTGCTCGGGGCGAGTCCCCCATGAGGAGAACGGTGTTCGCTGCATCCACGGACCGGCCTCATCCAGACGACAGGCCTGGCCCAGCCGGCGGGCTCGGTGGATGGAGCGTCGGCCTGCGGACTGAAGGGTCCTGGGTTCGATTCCCGGTCGGGGCACATGCCCGGGTTGAGGGCTCAATCCCCAGTGGGGGGCATGCAGGAGGCAGCCAATCAATGATCCTCTCTCATCACTGAAATTGATTTCATCACTGAAATCAATAAAATATATATAAAAAAAGACAGGTAGGTCTGCTTGCAGGTGAAAATCATAGCTTATGGAAGCATATTATTTCTTAATTACACGTTGGATTTTTGATTCTATAATTCTAAGCGAGTCTAACTGGATACATTAACTGCCCGAGAATCATCTTACGCATCCATCTTACGCATCCGAGGGTGAGTCACAGCCCCTTTCCCCGAACGTGCCCGGAGCCCCCAGGAATGAACACAGCCTTCCCTGGGCCGGGCGTGGCCACAGCCTGAAAAACTCAACCAGACCCCGAATGCCTGTCTGTTCCTCTCCCGGCTGATGGTTCTGACGCGAGGGCATCGCTGTGGGCGGGAGGGAGTCGGTGGGAGACACGTGGCGGGGACACGGCGTGTTTTAGGCGCCTCGTTGCTCGGCTCTAGGCGTGCGATGTCAGTGGCGTTCTCAGTGATAATAACTGATTGTCCAGCCCAAGGCGTCCGCTCTTTCCCGCGATTGGGGCCCTACTTGCGTGCAGACGCCACAGACGGGAATAGAGCCCGAGTCCAGCAGCGGTAAACGCTCTCGCTGCGCGAGGAGGTCGGGTCCACGTCCCCACCGCAGGCGACCGCCCCTCCGTGTGCCCTTCGCTCTCCATCTCGGCGTGGATGGAGCCAGGAGGGGGCCCTCCGCCCGCCGTCCTTACAGTTCCCGGCAGGACTTTATCAAACCCACTGGCCGCCCCCCCCCCCCCCACAGCTGGAGCCACGCAGGCCTAGACGTAGCTGGTGCAGGGCTTCCTGGGCGCGGCCGGGTCCCCCTGCGGCCCCCGGTGAGGCACGCAGTGCCTGGGGGCCGGGCGCCGGTGCCCTCGCTTCCTCCGGCTGCAGCAGCAGAACCCGCAGAGCAGAGCCCCTCCGGCGAGGAGGACGGCGGCGCTGGCCCAGCCCAGGAAGAGCGCGGCCCCCAGCTCGCGCTTCTGCCCCACGTGGACGGCGGGGTTGTGGAAATCCCGGATGACGATGTGGGCCGTCCAGGACACGGGGATGAGGACGAAGAGGCCCGTGAGGAGGAGGAGGGCCCCGGACGCCCCCACGAGGTACGCCTTGGCCCTCTCGTCGGAGCCCGTGCACTGGACCTGCCTCAGGCCACAGGTGCCCACGAGCAGGGCCGTGAGGGCGAGGGCCACGGCCACGCACATCAGGGCCCGGGCGGCCTCCAGCACGGGGGGCAGGGCCAGCAGGGAGCTGTAGAGCTTGCACTGCAGCGTGGCCCGGGCCTGCCGCACGCAGGTCATCCACAGCCCCTCCCAGATCCTCTCGAAGACGATGATGTTGCTGCCCACGAATGCAGACACGCGCCACTGGGGCAGGAGGGTGGTGGCCAGAGCCCCGGCCAGGCCCAGGACGCCCAGCACCAGCCCCGCCACCTGCAGCGGGTAGAAGGCCATGGCCGGGGCGGGAGACGGGTCGAACCCAGAAGCTGCTCACGATCCCGAAGGCCTGTCCTGGCCCGTGGCTCAGCGGATAGAGCGTCGGCCTGTGGACCAAAGGGTCCCGGGTTCGATGCCGGTCAAGGGGACGTTCCTGGATGGCAGGCTCCTCCCCAGCCCGGGCCCTGGTCAGGGTGCGCGCAGGAGGCAGCCAGTCGATGTACTTCTCTTACATGGAAGTTTCTCTCTGCCTTTCCCTCCCTCTCTCTCCCACTGTCTCTAAAAATCAATGGCAAATGTCCCCAGGGGAGGATTAACCAAACCAAAAGGCAGGTCCTGGAGGTGGAGGTCTTGTCTACAGGAGTCTCGGAGGGCGGTTTCCACGGCGACGGCCCATCAGGATGAGTCCCCGCGGCAGCCCGGGACCTGGCCAGCGGCAGGACCTGCTGCGGGCGCTGCCGCCTCTGCCCACACTCGCCCGCGTCTGGGGGACTGTTTGCCGGTCACAGAGGGTGTCCCGGCCCGGGAGGAGGAAGCCAGAGGTGTGCCGAGCGGCTGCCTTCACGCCAGCCTTTCTCATTCTCCAATTGTCTCGGCGATGCTGTAATTAGTGACGGAGAGCCGCTGTGGAATGTTAATTACAGAGCCCGGAACTTCCTGCCTGAGATCTCTCTATAGAAAAGCACAGATGCACCAGTTAAGCCACAAGGAAGACAACGCCAAAGCCTGGAGGGTTCTTTGTGTTTTGTTGTTGTTGTTTCTCTTCTCTCGCCAGTTCTTTGCAAGGAAGACGCGTGGACTCCGGAGGGTCCGAGACTCTTCTCCGCCAACTTCCTTTCCTGCCGTCGGTCCGTCCTGCTTCACCCAGGCGCCCGGACGTGGGGAATGTTTGGGTGTGAGGCTCAGGACTCCTGCTGAAACCAGTGGTACTTTACACAAGGAGGAGCCCTGAGCAAGAAATTCAAATGTCACAGTTTATTTCCAAGATCCAGAAAGGAGGGACGGAGAGAAGCCATCTGTTAATTTAATTTGCTGGTAATTATCATATTATCTTTTACGCAACACCCTCCTCGCTGGTGAAATGCTGGTTGGCCTATAAACTTTCATTACATGTTTTTTTCAGTGGCAGCTTGAAATACAGCACATTTATCAAAGTGAAAAATGTCTCTCCCATTTTCACGAAACACCATGAAAAGTGTCCTTTGGATTAAGCAAGGCCACTGGTTAAATTCAGAGAAACCTTTTAAGGGACGGGAGTTACCTTCCACGTGACCAGGCTTATGTCTCGTTGGCCACAGGCAGGATGAGAGGGCACAGCGAGGCCAGCTCTGCGTGTGCTGATCAGGAATACACCCGTCTTGGACCTACTAAGCGCGCGTTCACCTACTAAGCGCGTCTTCCTCAGTCTGAGTCAACAACAGGAGGGAGAAAGATTTTCTCAGGCCTTTTCCTCTGAAGGGACTAAACCAGAAATTGAATGCCACACCTTCCATAGTTTCCCAAATAGTTTTCAAAGCCAGAGAACTTTAATCAATGCTGTTTCCAAGTTCAAGGGGGACACTGTCATCCTTGACTTCCCTCCACACATTTCCTAGAGGCGGGGGGCGGGGGCGGTGTAGGGTGGGGGGAGGGGCTTTATGTGGGGAGCAGACCTTCCCCCCTTTTCCTTTTATGTCCTGATGCAAGGAATCCATTTCAAGGATGGAAACTCTGGGAAGGTGTAGCCATTACCCAGGGCACAGCATGCGGACTCCTGCTGGGAGACCCTACCTTTGCAAAGCCCTTCATTTGAGTCAACCCCAGCCAACAGCTGGTGTGTGACCCAGTACCACTGGGATATTTTTGTAGGATTCAACACTCTCAATCTATATAAAAGGCTAATATGCTAAGTGTCTTACTGTCCGACCGGTTGTAATGATGCACACTGACCACCAGGGGGCAGACGCTCAACACAGGAGCTGCCGTGACGTGCACCACCCATTTATAGAAAAATGGCACCACGGAGCTGGCGCCCACAAAGCAACACTTGGCTTCCCCCAAGTGGGACACAGGCCTAGCCACCACCCTGGAGTGACAGCCCACCAAATCGCAGCCAACGCTGCCAATACCCCGTGGAGCAAAATACAGTCCACAGCCCAGCCCAGCCCAGAAACGGACACTGTGGGCACCGGGTAATAACGTCACGTAGCAACACCCGGCTTCCTCTCCCTAGCGACTAGCCTCCTTGGAGTTTCTTCAGCCCAGGAACATGACTTCCTTTCTAGCCAGGTGCAGACATTTCACACTGTAACCAAATGTCTGTGAAGCGTTTTCCCTGCCTCATCTCATTTGATCCTCACGGAAGTCCTGGAGTCGGTAGATAGGAGACTCAGTAGAATTCTATTTTCTTTTCATTAGCTGGAAAACGGAGATTCAGAAAGCTTAGAAACTTGACCCGACTGAAAAGAAGAAATGGTGGACCTTGAAAATGACTTCAGGTTTTCTCGCTGCGCAGAATATAGTCAAAGACGGCTGCAGCTAAATATTTTACCCTTTGTTCTCCCTGCGTGATCTACAATAATAATCTGCTTCGTGTTAATATTTACTGCTGTGTTGCTGACAATTACCTAAAAGGGAAGTTGGGGTGCTTCACTGGGCTGGAAAAAGTTTAGCTAAATCAGAAAGCAGGTTTAATGAAGCAAGTTTATTCTATGTCTATAAAAGACTAAGTTGACTCCCCCATGCATGATACACATAAAGCTCTCACTGGCACCAATCGCACATGTGTGTTTCCATCTGTCATTGTCGATCGTGAATTTGGTTGACACGTCTATTATAGAGAAAGGGCGGAGAGTGATATTAAAATATTTCTTCTAATTAATTTCCTTTCAATGTGCACAAATTTGTGCACCGGCCACTAGTAATTTATAGTTTCTAGAAAGAACATCAGTTAAGATCCAGGTGACCTGCCTGGCTGGTGTGGCTCAGTGGTTGACCATCGACCTATGAACCAGGAGGTCACGGTTCGATCCCCAGTCAGGGCACAGGCCTGGGTTGTGGGCTCCATTCCCAGTGGGGGGCGTGCAGGAGGCAGCCAGTCAATGATTCTCTCTCATCATTGACGTTTCCATCTATCTCTCCCTCTCCCTTCCTCTCTGAAGTCAATACAAATATTTTTTTAAAAAAGACCCTGAACCAGCCCCGAGCAGGCCTCCCCTCGCCTCCGTGTCTCAATTCACATTCGCCTGCAGGGGACAGTCCAGCCTCCTCAGAGCACACACAGCCCCGTCCCAAACCGGCTCCTGCTCAGCCTGAAGCGGCTCTTCTCACTGTGGCTCATCCAACCTTCACCCACATGCACGCTGCAGTGAGAGCCGTAAATATTAAGTAGTAATTGCCAAAATGTGTTAATTACAAGTGGACACACAGCTGTAGACAGAAATATGGAGCGTGGAAACATAGGGTATAGAAGAGTCCAAACAGAGGAGAGTCCTTAACGTTAATTGTGAAGTGAAAGGAAGACTCGCTGACAAAACCGTAGCTCAGCCATAGCCGGAGCCTGAGCCGGAATTAGCCTGAGTGTCTCGCAGGCAGTGGGATGGAGCACGTGGGTCACGCAGGCGGGCTGGGGTCAGATGTGAGGCCAAAGGGCTCAGGGCTCCTGGGAAGGGGCCAGAGGAGAGCGGGTGACAGGGGAGAGGGGAGGCCGCAGACGGGGCCACGTGCAGACCTGCAGGTGCTGGGAACCTAAATTGATAAAAATATATTCGTTTAATAATTATTTTTATTATTTTTTAAATTCTCCGCTGAGGATATGTTTATTGATTTGAGAGAGAGAGGGAGAGAGAAACATTGATCAGTTGCCTCCTGCACATGCCCCGACCGGGATGGAACCCGCCACCTTTCCTGTAGGGATGATGCTCCAACCACCTGAGGCAGCCACACGTTGTCATTGACCGAAGCTCACAGTTATTTGTTGGCTCCTCGCTGTGTCCTCGCTCTGTGCCCAGACTCCCCCGCCCCCCCCCAGCCCCGGGCACCGCAACCTTCAGCTCTAAGGTTCCGGGCTCTGCCTGGCCGTGACCTTCCTCGAGCGTTCCCGCACTCGGTGACCTTGACACTGAGGGGCATGTGCACGGCTCGGGTGGGTCGGCCGCCCTCGTCCTGCAATGTCTCCTGTTCCCCTGCTGATTCCACGAGGCTGTGGCTGGGGAGACGATCCCAGAGGTGAGACCTTTGCTCCCATCACCTGCAGGGGAGCCGCCCCCTCTGTGGCTGCCATGAGGCCTCGTCCCGGCTGGGACTGGCTGTCGGGTTTCTCACCGCGAGGTGGCCCTCGGCTCTCCCTCAGCCCCTCGAGGGAGGTCCCTGCACAGCCCACCCTCGGGGAGGGGACTCCAGGCATCAGGTGGGATTCTCCTACTCGGGCTCGCCTTCCCCTCTTACTCACCCACTGAACCACCTGTTCACAGCCGTCGGGACGCGTGGCCGTGCATTTCGTGCTCTGCGTCGTACGCTGCAGCACCGGCTTGTGTTGTCCCCATTTTCCCTTTGGGCCTCGGGATCCTCCCGTCCCCCCCCCCCCACCGGTTTGCGCTGCAGCCCGAGCACATACAGCCCAGCCCTCCCCTCTTCCCAGCAGCACAGACGGGGTTCGCTGCCCGGCTGAGAGGGGGGAACCGAGACGCAGCCTCAGGCCGCGATGCCCGAGCCGCACTGCCCAGCACCACACGCTGCCTTTGCGAGTTTGGTTAACTTCACGGGAAAGGCTCCGTTGGCCTTAAAAACGCATGAATTTGTCTCCCAGAATGAATCCCAGCGGCTCCGCACCACTGGCTTCGTTGCGTGCGGGTGGGGGACCGTCGGTTCCCCTGAGGCTCCCCTGAAAGTTCATTCCTCTGGAAAGGTGGGCCCAGAACCCGGGCCCCCACTGGCTCCCTGGGTCCCCTGCACCCCGAGCTTTTAATTCTTTGTGGTTGAAAGTGTTACATGTGTCCCCTCCCGCACTGACCTCTCCTGCGCTCTTTCTTGGGGACACAAAGCCGGAGGCGGGGCACCAGACTGGGGAGCGCTCCCAGCCGAGTCACAAGGAATGATATTCTGTGCTGTTCATTCTGTGTTGTTCGTGGTAAGAAAAGGAGACAGACACGCCTGTCTCCAGCAGACAGAAGCCACAGGACCCGATTCAGGGAGACCCTTTATGGGGGACGCCCCA